TTGTGTGTTAAAAAAACACAAGGGGCTGTGTTAGTGGGGTCAACGGTTATGAATACTGATTCAAGATGTCGTGTCTGCGGAACATATTAATGCACTTAAAGGCTCATTAGATGGCAAAACAAAGCAAATTTCAGTTTTTTTCTCAGTCAGGGTTAGGGTTAGGGTTACTAACCCTAACTGTCTACCAAAACTGTGTATTTTTCTAAGACATAGAGGTTACATGGTGTAATGTTTAGCAGTCTGTACTCTGCATCCAGTGATCTGACTTCAAATCTCAGTGGAACCTGCTTTTAAGCTAGAGTAAAGGTCAAAAAATGCAACCTTTCCACATCTCAGCAAAAGTTGGACTGGTGTGGCCATCTTGCTTCAGCTACAAGTGCGACCGGAGAGTCGCGTCTTGACCTTCACCGGAGTGATCTAAGAATGAAGTACTATTGACAGGGAGTAAAATGGTTTCCACTTAAATCATGAATGCACACTTTGCATTGTGTCTTGCAATCACCATAAAAAAAGAAGTTTGACTGAGATTTCAACTCAGGTTCTTGCCGTAAGAGTCAAAAGTGTTCGTCATCAAGAGACACGTATACTCCATCAGAGGTGGTTGTTGGATGGTCGACCAGCTTTGGAAACCCCATCCACACACAGCTTTCCGACGTCAGATGGGGGCTGTGTCTAACCATTTGTGTGTTAAAAAAACACAAGGGGCTGTGTTAGTGGGGTCAACGGTAATGAATACTGATTCAAGATGTCGTGTCTGCGGAACATATTAATGCACTTAAAGGCTCATTAGATGGCAAAACAAAGCAAATTTCAGTTTTTTTCAGTCAGGGTGGCTGAGCGGTCCAAGGCGCTGGGTTCAGGTCGCAGTCTCCAGTGGAGGCGTGGGTTCGAATCCCACTTCTGACAGCAATTGTTTTTCACTGGTTCCATTGACTGTAACATGATATTGTGAAAGAAAGCTTAGCAATGCTTTGTATGTTAAGGAGCAGGCATTTGACAAACTACTGCACGACCACTGCAACAGCAGCATTTGTAACCCTCTACATTATCAACCAGTGTAATCTTGCCATGTGTTTGTATACAGTTGGCCTGTATGTTGCTGGATTCATTGTTTGTAGGAAGTCTCTCAAAACAATTTCTTCACTTGTCACTTCTCAAATCCTCTGCTGAGCTTACTAAAATTCTTAAGTTAGCCTGAAACGGTGTCTGAGTCTTGTTAGCTTCTTTGTCATCGGTACCGTTGTATGCCTTCTATGTCTTATTCCCTGCACAGATAACATACTAGCGGATGCCAAATAAGAAACTGTCTACCAAAACTGTGTATTTTTCTAGGACATAGAGGTTCCATGGTGTAATGGTTAGCAGTCTGTACTCTGAATCCAGTGTTCTGAGTTCAAATCTCAGTGGAACCTGATTTTAAGCTACCAGTGTAATCTTACCATGTGTTTGTATACAGTTGGCCTATATGTTGCTGGATTCATTGTTTGTAGGAAGTCTTTCAAAACAATTTCTTTACTTGTCACTTCCCAAATCCTCTGCTGAGCTTACTAAAACAGATAACATACTAGCGGATGCCAAATAAGAAACTGTCTACCAAAACTGTGTATTTTTATAGGGCATAGCGGTATCATGGTGTAATGGTTAGCACTCTGGACTTTGACTCTGGTGATCTGAGTTTAAATGGAAAAACTTTTTAACACTTTGTATTGTGTCTTGTAATCACCATAAAAAAAGAACTTTGACTTAGATTTCTATCAGGATCAGGATAATTGTGCGTCCCTGTCCTACTTCAAAAGGGCGAAGCGTCGATCACCGAAACCATGATTTTCCAATGGTACAATGTCAAATAAACTCAAAGAAAGAGCCTCTTTTTACCCGCTGACGAGCAGGTGATGATCATGAACGCATATGAGGAATTCAAGACCATAATCATGGCAAAATCTAACACTGCCACCGCTGCGAGGTCTAGACATGAAGCACGGCAAAATATCACAGACAAGTTAAATGCGTAAGTTTTGGGAAAATGTATAGGCTCATTTTAAGTGCCTCATCACCCCAATCAATCAGATTATATTTCTTTAAATGTGCCTGCTGGCAGTTGGCGTAATGGCATGCATCATCCAATGAGATCTATAGCGAAAATATTTATCTCAACTCTTTCAGAATAAGTTGATAAAAACAAGCCCAAAGAGTATCTAACTGATACGAATTAATATGAGGATATATGTACTGTATGCGCTTATGTATCATGTAGCCTACTATATATGTGTATATACATGTATGTGTAGATTACCATATAGAACTAGGAGTTTGAATATGTGTGTGCGTCTGTGTATGGGCGGATCAGTATGTATGTATGTTTTATTCATAATCAGAAATTCAATCAATTGAAGCAGTGAAAAGAAATAGTGTGTGATTCTCTCTATTCTTATCATGAGTCCACCTTAATCATTTTCTACAATAATGATATGCTGGTGTACTAATAACACTGTCATATAATTATGAGTGCTTTCAACCCCCATGTATGCAACGCAGCCATCAAGAGGACATGGGAGCAAGTAACAACTAAGCACAAACACATTATTCAGAATGGTGAGTCAATACAATATGTGCCATGGTAATGTAATGAACACATCCATAAGTTTATTAAGCTCCAAATAAACTTTACGAACAGCACGGCATGCATGTTCTCAGCATCGCCGACACTGTACAAAATGTACCACTCGCAAAACAGCGCAAGGCTGCATCCAGTCTGTGAGACAGTCAATGCTCGGCTGGGCGTGTGGTGTTCAATGTATGGCTCCAGAAGGTCTTGTAAATAAATGATTCCTTGTCGGCAGAATCGATAGCGCTTGTATAGGAAGTCATCATGATGTGATAACGGAGAAATCTCTCCCTATAAAACGCTAATCTAACTAATATCGCTCCTTCATCAATGGGATCTCTGAGGAAGGGAGCTGTACATGAATGCAATAGAGGCTTCTTAGTTTGCTCAGCTGGTTTTAATGGATCACCGTGTGTCTCACTTTACATGCATTTCAGGAACTCCTGTATAACCCCCAGTCTATGTGCAAGCGCATTAGACTAACCGTATATGACAGGAGCTGCCATTTTTTCTGGGGGTGTGGCAAGCTTATCCAGCTACCTTCAGTTAGCCTGCGCTGGAGCAGGTTCAAGCTTATGGATGTGTTGCTATGGTGAGTTTGCCAAACTTGCTTTGTGGAACCGAAAAGCCTCACTTATGTAATCTTATCCTGAAAACTATCCAGCTAACTCAGTTAACCACGTACGAGGAACGGGGCCCTGCTCCTTAACATACAAAGCATTGCTAAGCTTTCTTTCATAATATCATATTACAGTCAACGGAACCAGTGAAAAACAATTGCTGTCAGAAGTGGGATTCGAACCCACACCAAAGGTTTCCAAAGGTGGTCGACCGATGACGAACACTGTAGACTGTAATGTAGGGGTGTCAAACTCAATCACAGAGAGGGCCAAAATTAAAAATTGAGGCTACGTTGAGGGCCAAATAGGGTCAACATTTAATAAATAGGATAGAATGGATATTGGCGAAAGTGCAAAAAGAAATAGGCTACATTCTTTTATGCATACGTACCAGAGCCGGATGTTTGGCATTTTTTTTGGCTGCCAGTTTATTAATGTCTGGGGTTAGGTTCGGTGGAAAACCTCAGTTGAAGGAGTGAAGGTGTGCATCAGTAAGATGACTCCTGTGTGTGTTTTAGTTCATCTTCATCACAGAGAAAAGCTACTCACACAGGTATGTGCTTCCAAACATGCAGAGCAATTGAGCAGCATGTAGGCAGAGTTGAGGCATCATTTCGGGGATGAAGCTTGGATGTGCAGCACCCACAGAGTCATACTTTGCCTTGAGTGTGTCATTACTCTGGAGGTCTATCAGCTTTTGCAAAGCTTTGCTTTGATATATTACTGTATTTAAGGAGTAAACCACTGAAACCTGACATTCCATATAACGCGAAGCTGCTTGGATCTTGATGCTCGTGGTGGTACAGTACGGGTGCTTTGAGCAGCCAAAAAAGAAAAAGGAAGACCTACTTCAGGAAGACCTACTTCAGCAATAATTTCTCATACTTTATATAATATGCAACCACATTATAATGCAGATTATCTTATTCTGATGAAATTTAAAAAAGGGAGCTCTAACGTTAAAATATAACCACTATTGCCAGGCCCGCTGGAGGGATGGGAGGCACGGGAGAGCCAGACCCAGGGCTGTGCGGGGCAGACTGTCAGACGCCTGCTGCAGTTACATGAGAGGTTTTCCAAAGGGACTCTGGTGCTCGGAAACACTACCGCTTTTGTCCTCAGGAGCCGCCAAAATCAACAAAATAAATGAAAGTTCCTCGTAGTAAATTAACGATGCAAAGCTCACTGGTGTGGGTAGCAAGTACAAACCGAAGTAACTGATAATCCACAGGTGAAGACAGATAAGGGTTCAGTTTATTATCATAGACTCAAATTTTTTTTTATCAATATCTGAAAATATAGAAGCCAATGCAATCGGACCATTAAATAACACTATGACTCATATAAAATAATTGCTGTCATATATTTCTGTATTGAGTTCACGGGAACAAATGCAAACTTATTACAATGTCAAAAAATCTCATAGCAAACAACTCATTGACTGCTGGGTACTATGTTTTGATACAAGGTATTTTTGCCCATATTTTCTGTATTTCACCAATAAATTGTCAAGAAAAAACAAAGTACACTCATACAAACTCATCTGCACACATCACACACACATTGTCAGATCCTCTTTAGTTGTTGGATTAAAACAGCTTTCTCTCAAAGTTCATCAACAGATGAGGCAGCGTCCAGCTGTGTTGCCATTCAACAGGTTGTTTTTTTTCACAATTGGCTGTCCCTCAAAGCACTGTCTCTCTAAAGACTCCGATCAGACTGTGTGGGCGTTCAGGGTGATCCAGGCGGGACCCTGTCCTTGACCCCGCCAATGAACCCCCTCTCGAGCCCGGCCTCGACCCCGCTCTTCCGCGGCTTCCTCGTTGCTCCACGGACTCGCAAGTGAAGGAGCTGAGGTCCCCGCAGCTCTGCAGGTGCAGCAGACCGGGCCTCCTCCTCGTCCTCGGGGGGCGAGGAAAAGTCTGGGAGTGACTGGCCGCTGGCTGCTGGGGCGGTTTAGGCTGTCTGGGACCCATCTGTGAATCAGTGAACACCTGAAAGACAACGGGAAACTACTGTTCAGGACACCTCGTAATATCAACAGAAAAAAACATATAATTTATGTAAATAATTTGTGTTATGCTCCTGTTCGAGTAACGTTTGATAAAAACTACAGTGACCAGATGTTTTGGGAAATCACTGAGCCTTTTTTTAAATGACGGACCAATGGAAACATGTTGCTGGTTCTTTATAAGAAACATCCTTTTAGCTTACTAGAATTTTTGTACTTTACCCATCAAATGGTTGAAAGATTTTTGCATCAGATGTTTGTATGTGTAGTTTTGACTGACACATGTTTCTGTATGAACTCCTACCTGTTCTATGTAGCTGGCACAGCGCACAGCCTCCTCCATGTGCTCCTGGTCTGACTGCAGGACATTCCGTATGCTGTCCACCAGCTCCTGGACCTCGGGGGCCAGGCCCTGTGCGGCCGGCTGCTCCAGGATCTTCCTGACCAGCTGCTGCGTGTGCCGGTAGCTCTGGTAGTCCACCATGGAGGAGGGCCGGGGCCGACGGGGCGTCCTGCCGCCGCCGCTGTTGTTGTTGGTGCCCCGTCGCAGCGTGACCTGGCCCTGGGCGCAGGCGGCCAGCGTGGGCTGGGAGGTCTGGGTGGAGGAATCTGTGGTCTGAGGAGACGGGGCGGGGGGAGCGCCGCTGCTGCTCAGCACTGCGGCGGACAGCAGAGGGGAAGAAGATGGTTCAGGTTCCCCAACAATCCCTGTTATCGGTATATCTAACTACATTCGCAAACAGTGCTTGAAGTGTGAAACAGAGCGTTAGTGGCGCAACCGTCAGTCTGCGCTGATCTAATTAACATAAGTGATTCTTAGAGTATATCTGTTTGTATTTACTGTATGAAAAGTTGCTCATTCAGTTCATTGAATCCCTGGTAGTGGGACACAAACACTATGTTGATAAATCTGCAGCATCTGATTGGAGTGCTGCCTCAGATCGCAGTGCCATTACACACACTGACCACTGTTGTATCAGCACAGAAGTTCACTAAAAGACGTATTTTTGTGTTAATCTTTATTGTCTTTATTTTTGAGCAAAAGTAAAACAACCTCAAGGAAGGTAAATATTATTAGCTAAATAAGAGGCATTGGGTAATCGTGCGATTTATAGCCGGTTATTCGTTTAAAAAGAATCAATATATAATTGTACTCTCAGCTATAGTTACTATGCAGCCCTACTGTTGATTTGAAAGTGGTTGGATGGCTTTTAGATCCTGCACTGAATAAACCTCTAAGGGTGACCATAGAGTGTTGATGGACCATAGAGTAAGTCCTCCAAAGGGACAGTAAAGATCTGTTGAATTTAGTCTGGATCGCTGTTTATGTAGCAAATCATCTCGCGCTGATCGGTGTTGCAACTTCCAAAGATGACATAATTACACATGGGGGGGGGGACAAGCCAACCTTTAGCAGTGAGGTCCATCAATACTGGGTCACTGTTGGAGCGCCGGATTCTCGCCTTCCTCCAGGGGGTCAGTGCTGGAGAGGGCTGCTGCTGCTGATGAGGAGGAAGAAGAGGAGGAGGAGGAGGAGGAGGAGGAGGGGGAGGAGGAGGCAGGATCTGGGGCTTGGTGGCTGGTGATGCCGATACCATTTGCGGACTCCCGTCTAAGACCGAATACAGACAAGTGGTACTATTAGAACAAAAGGCAGTTGTCACAGAAGATGCTCTGAAGAAACAAATCAGATCCATAGATACTCATAGAGTAACTGCACCGTGATGAAACACATCAATAATGGGGATTTCTTTCTAAATTCATTTTAAAAAAACAGCCTCAAAACGCCATCAACTGTTTAAAATCAGCCCGAATGTTTCAAGACCAGTTCTGGGATAGAGTCGGCCGTTTGGGATTAATCTACGTCACACGTGTCAAACTCAAGGCCCGCAGGCCGAATCCGGCCCGCCACGTCATTTTATGTGGCCCGCGAATCCACCAGCAAAAAAAAAAAAAAAAAAAAATTTAATTTTGGAAAAAAAAATTAAAGTTAGACTTCAAAATAAAAATATCCCCATGGTCGAAATTATGAGATGCAAAATTGAAATTATGCGACAGCATGTTGTGAAGTATTATCACCATGGCTGGACATTGATTACTTGTCCTCCTAACAGTCACTTGGTAACAATATGGTTAATTAGTTATTACCTTTTTTTTTTAAAACAGGTGGACAGGAGAGGGAACAGCCCGTAAAGCGGTTTTCCAACAAGTGATCGAGTTGAAAAAGATCGACAAATAATCCCAAAATGTCCACGAAGAGAAAAATTGATGCAGAGGGAAGAAGATGTAATTTAAGATGGGAAAGCGAATACATGTTTGTGCTTCAGGGAGAAAAACGGGTCTGTCTTCTGTGTTATGATGCATGTCGGTGATGAAGGATACAATTTACGTCGGCATTTTCACACCAAACACAGAGCTAAATTTAGCCTCCAAGAAAAACATCAAATTGTCCAAGAATTAAAAGGCACACTGCAATCACAGCAGAATATATTTACAAAAGCTACAGCCCAGTGCATGCTAAAGGTCTGTGAGCAGGTGAGCTCCAACCAGATACAGACTTTTAAAAATGTCAGTTTGTGAAGAAACACCATCGCAGACCGAGTTCAGGAACTAGCAGCAATCTGACAACACAGCTAGCTAAGAGACGAGATACATCATCTATCAATGTTTATAAGAGGCTCAAGGCAGACCTGACTCTCAGTGAGGAGCTCTTGGATGTAGCTGCCATGCACGGGACGACGGCAGGGAGGGACATTAGTGATGCAGAGAGGTGACAAAAATAGCTTTGAACAAAGTTAATGTAATAACTTGTGTTTGATGATATTTGTCTTTGTTATTTTCTTTAATAGTTTGATCTTTGATAGAGTAATGTGGGTTTCTTAACCCTAAATTAAAATGATTTATGTTATAATAACAGAAATGTGCTTAAATATCATTTTACATTTATATAACTGCATGCACAATATTTTTACACTTGAATAAACAATAATCAAAAGCAGAGACAGTTATTTAACAATATGTTAGGAGTAGTTACAGTTATACAGTCTTACAGTTATAACCGGCCCTTTGAGGGAAACCATGATGCTGATGTGGCCCGGAGTGAAAATGAGTTTGACACCCCTGATCTACGTCATGAAATAAAAGAGTGTTAACGCTCTCTAATCAGACCCTCCTCCTCGTCTCTAGAGTGAGAGACTTCGTCTCTCTGTATACTTTTGTAAGAAATACAGTAAAAGTGTGTCTGATACACACACATGAGGGAGCCTGCTTTATAGAGTATGACAAATGTGGCAGGGATCACATGACCTCTCCCAGCAGCTGAAGGTATCAGATGAGTGAAGGACAACATCACCCATAATCATCAGGGGAGCAGACAAAGTAAGATAAAAGCTACTAAAGCTGCAATCTGCACACAATCTAAAAGGTCACAGCCAAATGTTACCGTCACTGCCAGAATCTGCAAATCCAAATTATATTCGTACAACGTTCCATTCAGAATAAAGCCCTTATTGAATATATCCAAACGGAATATGCTGCTTACATGAACTACATCAAATACAAAATATTGGCATCTTCGGAATAATAGTGAAATATGAGTGTGCATGTAAACGTAGACACTGAGGTAAACCTTAGCCAGGAAAACACACTGTGGCACTAGCACACACACACACACACACACACACACATACACACACACACAAACATACAGTAGAGCTCCGCTGCACTTCCACACAGACAATGAAGCCCCGACACAAATAAACCTTCAGAGAAGTGGAAGCAACAGAAATAGAAAAAAAAAAAATTATAAAAAAAAAAGCAAAATATGTCTACATAGAGTTTGATTACACAAGCGAAACAGCCTGACAGTTATTAAAATGACACCGGGCCACCACTATCTCAGTGTTTTGTTCCAGAGGGCAGTACAAAGATACACAGGGCAGTTTTATGTTCAGAGATCAGCCATTCAGCCCCCCCCCCTAACCTACCTGGAACAGATGATGCTCCTGGTGGAGTCGGGTTTGTCATCAACTCCCTCAGAGCAATCTCTGTCTCCTGAAATAAACAATATGAATAATAATAATAATAATACATTTTATTTAGAGAGCGCTTTTCAGAATACTCAAAGACACTTTACATTAAAATCATCATATTAAAAAACAGCCATACACTAAAATTCTAAAACACACAATATTGTTCACACGTTAAAAGCAGTTCTGAAAAGGTGGGTTTTGATTTGTGATTTGAATATGGAAAGATCGGTGCAGTCTCGGATGTGTTTGGGGAAAGAGTTCCAGAGGGAGGGGGCAGCTATGGAGAAGGCTCTGTCGCCCCATGTCCGGTGCTTGGTCCTGAGTGGAAGGGACAGGAGGTTGGCATCAGAGGAGCGGAGCCGACGGGATGGAGTGTGGTGGTGAAGCAGGTAAGTGAGGTAGGAGGTGGCCTGAGGGGGCCTGAGGGGGCCTGATTATAGAGGGCTTTGTGAGTGAGGAGAAGGACTTTGTATTGGATCCGTTGTGGGACGGGGAGCCAGTGGAGATTCTGGAGAACAGGGGTGATGTGGTCACGGGAGCGGGAGCGGGTGAGCAGGCGAGCAGCAGAGTTCTGGATGTACTGGAGTTTATTTAGGATTTTGGATGATGTGCCTTGAAGAATACTGTTGCAGTAGTCGATTCTGGAGGTGATGAAGGTGTGGATCAAAGTTTCAGCAGCAGATAAGGAGAGTGATGGGCGGAGAAGAAGGCAGTTCTGGTGATTTGTTTGACGTGGTGTTCAAAGGAGAGGTTGCTGTCAAACATGACTCCGAGGTTGCGGATGTTTGGGAGGGAGACAGAGTGGAGTTGTCGATGGTGAGGCAGAAGTTGTTACCGGTTTTCGTGAGGGATGTGGGACCGATGATGATCATGTCAGATTTATCACAGTTGAGTTTGAGAAAGTTGATTTAATGTCAGTGAGGCAGCTGGTGAGAGTGGAGTGAGTAGCAGTGGTAATGGCCTTTGTGGAGATGTAGAGCTGGACATCATCGGCGTAGCAGTGGAAATGGAGACCAAGTTGACGTATGATGTTACCAAGAGGGAGCAGGTAGAGGATGAACAGAAGAGGACCAAGCACCGAACCCTGGGGGATGCCTTGAGACAGAGGAGCAGTGGAGGAGGTGCAGTCGTTGATACTGATGAACTGTTGCCTGTTTGTGAGATATGATTTAATCCAGGAGAGAGCAGTTCCGGTGATATTGAGAGAGGATTCGAGGCGGGAGAGAAGGATGTTGTGGTTGATGGTGTCGAAAGCTGCAGTGAGGTCGAGGAGGATGAGAATATTAAGGTGACCAGCGTCTGAGGAGAGGAGGAGGTCGTTGGTGACTTTGAGGAGGGCTCTCTCTCTCTCTCTCTCTCTCTCTCTCTCTCTCTCTCTCTCTGTGTCTCTCTCTCGCTCTCTCTCCATTATATTCAAGAGAAGGCAGACATCTCTACAGCCGATATCTCCAAAATGTTTTCAAACACATTTCTCAGGAAATATGTATTTTTTCTATTTTGGAGTGAACTGTCCCTTTAATCTTTTGTATTTGGAGTGTACCTGTGTGACTGCATCGGTGGAGCTGCCAGCGACAACCTCGTACGGAGGCGGGGGGTCTAGCGGACAGAAGACCTCCACCCCTTTGATTCGAGCCCCGTAGATATGAGGGAGAGAGATCACGCTGTCCCCGAGGATCCTGAAACACACAAGTCAAACTAGAGAGCGAGTCCATCGTGTGTGTGACACATCGACACTAACAACAGGACTAAAGATGAAAGTGTGTGTGTGTGTGGGTGTGGGTGTGGGTGGGTGTGTGTGTGTGGGGGGGGGGGGGGGGGGGCTGCTGTTACCGGCGAGCCAGGCGTGGCGTGTACGAGTAGAAAGTGGAGAAGTAGGATGGGGGAGGGGCTGGGGCCACAAACTCATCCGGGTCTGGCACCTGAGCGGGTTCCTCCCTTTCGTCGACAGCGGCCCTGTGCTCGTCCTATCACAGAGCAGGGGACACGTGACATCACACATCATGCTAGGTAACGTAAGACTCTTTGAGACCTTTTTTAGGAGCACACAGAATTACATTCATAACTAATAATAATAAGACTAATAATAATTACAAATCAAAAAATGTTAAACTCAATATTTAAGATGTGAGGGGGGAACCCCGAAGACAGCTGAGGACGCAAAGTCGCATATCATTGCTAGTGTTGAAGGAATCATTTTGGAAAAATGAGTAAATTTGCTTTTCTTTTGGAGAGCGAGACGAGAGGATCAATAGTGCACCCCAGCTCCACATAGTGAGATCAAACCATTTCATTTTTGAAGATATGGTAAATAAATCCTGTGAAAAACCTACAATTCTGAGCTCCTCAGTGTAACTAGGAAGTGAGGATTGCTTTGGCTGAGACCAAGAGTCACCTGACAAACATTCCGCGAACCTGTGACTGAACTGCAGGCTGTTTACATGGTGCATTGAAGACAGGCTGTAAATGTAAATAGTTCAATGTACATAGCACATAGAGCACATAGAGCTTTCTTTTCAACATTGGTAACACTTGTGGACACTTGCCAAAATGTTGTATACATAGATTCCATTGTTTTTTTTCGTTTTTATGATTTATGGCATGATAACTGTGTAATTCTGCACTGAAGACATGTTTGTGCTGTTTCCATAGAGGTGCAGGACTTAAATATCGCAGTGAAAATCAAGGCTACAGGGAGAAAAACGTGACAGTAGGGAGAAACGCCCGGGGCTCAGAGAGATGAATTTGACTGATAGCATTTATTCTGAATTATTTTGTGCAGTGGAAATGTGATATCGTGACAGCCCTGATTTGGATATTCCCAAGCAGGAGGCTGCCACACCGACCCATTGTAGTTAATGGCCCAACACTATACAGTGGTGTGTGATCATACCAGGCACTGTGCTCTCGTGGTGAAGATCTGCAGGTATCTCAGGGCAGCCGCCATGAGGCACACGGCTGTGGTCAGAGCGTTCAGAGCGCACAGAGCAAACAAGACTTTCTGGGAGACAAAAGGAGACACAATGAGATGGGTTCAAAGGGAGCAGAGAGAACTATTTTATCTGTTGTGCTGCTTGTGCACAGTCAGAAAACAGACCAAGGGTTGCACTGTACCCAGTGCAGCGTGCACGGTGCAGAAACGGATGAGGGTTTTATCAAACAAGGCAGGAGGGGTGTTGATTTCTTTGCAGGAGGTTATATCATCTCAGACGCTACATTAATAATCAGAGACGTTTGAGAAGCCGGCCCTGTGTCCGGCTCAACGCCACCACGCTGAGCATAAACCAACATTTGGTCACTCCACAAAACAAGCACGAGCTGAGTAGGTGGAAGAAGGTGTCACATCATAAGAAATATACATTAAGTATAGTATATTTATAGTATAAATGAAGGAATGCCATTTCACTCAATATCAAACACATAAATAAATAAATCTGGCCATTAACAAAAATCCTGAAATAAACTATATATATATATATATATATATATATATATATATATATCAATATACTTTGATTAATACATGTATAAATAAAAAGGAAAGGACTGCTTCTATGTATTTAAAGAGACTTTAACTTCATAATGCCACATTTATTTATTTCTCACAGATTCAGACCACACATCCTTAAATAATGACCTATTTACCTATTGAACTGTGGCTTATATATTTACAGTATATCTATATATCTATTGCATTATTTATTCATTTCAGGATTTATTTTGTAGCTATTTCTATGTATTCATTGTGTATTCATGTATTTAATATTGAATCACATAGAATTCTACAGTAACCTTGGAAATCTTCACACAGCTTATACGAATTGAGGACAATTTGTGTGCAGCTTTCTGTTTTATTACTCCTGATGAACTCTTTTTTGGTTAATTACAGAGAAGAACAGACATCCAAATGAGGCAGCAACATTTTTGGGTCTTGGACTGACGATCGACCAAGATCTCCTGCCACTTTCATCCACAAGAGCGACTATGGAATAACGCTTTAAAGGTAATTAACTATTTGGATGACACACCTTTTCCAAAGAGAAGGTGTGTTTGAATCAGCATAAAGAACGACCGTTTAATGGTGGGCTCCCAGTGAACACAGCAGTGATTGTATAGAGGTGTGCACCTTGAGCAGGACCCTCATGGTGCCGCAGGAGTGGGCGGGGTGGAGCTCCAGCAGCTTCTCTTCGGGACATTTGGAGCTGGGGGAGAGGGAGCAGCAGTAACACACATCTCCAGCCTCACTCTGAAACAACACACATACACACACACACACACACACACACACACACACACACACACACACACA